TCCCTTTAGGTCTTCCTGGGATTATAGAACCACACCTTGTCTCCCGGTACAAAGCTGACTTCAGTAGATCACTTATCATAACATAGCTTCATGGAATCAGCAGACCTTTTCAAGGAAAGGGATAGAACCTTTACTTTGCCATTCCCTCTCAATTTAGCGTTGGTCTAATAAAATAAGTTACTATAAACAAATAAAGATTCTAAAATAAATTTGATACCTGGTAATAAATGACCGAATAGATAAACTTCGTCATAAAGATAAAAAAACAATAATAATAACAACAACAAAACAGTCATATAGGTTGAACATTAAACTGCTTATTTTCACATTAATTTTGCCGTTTTTCCATGATAATAACGGTAACGAAATACGCCCAAATTTCCATTCTAACAATAAAACCTTCAGGGGGTGTCAGCCACAAACCTCCCTAGTTTTCACTTCTGGGAAGCTTAGTTCACTTTCAGCTTTAGTCTTCCAAATACATTTTGCTTCTGACACCTGTGCATCAAATAATAAAGTTTCGAATTGGTGTTAATGAAGGTGAGGCCTCTACAGAACAACCGTGCTATCTATTAAAGACATCTACTTTTTCTAACGTTAATGAATATTATGAATCTTCTTTTGGTATATTTATTTTCACCACCTTGAGTCATTCACTTACTTAACAAAAGAATACAATAATATTTACAACTGTAGATATTAAATGTTTTAAAATAATAATAAAAAAAGAAGGTAGATATAATGTTTTAACGTCTCACACAGCGGATTCACAAATAAGTATTTTTTTAAATTTAGCGAAGGAACTGATAATAGTCAAGACAATTTATTGAAAAAAAAACATATGGCAGAGTGGTATTAATGGTTGTCTTGTAACTTTAAAAAGTAGAACTAATCTTACTAAGGTGCAGATTTAGTAAACAATTTCAAGGGTGATTTAATCTAAATATTTAAATTGAAGAGGTTATTGAAATATCAGTTGTTTTTATCGGATTCTGAGAACAAAAGCATAAGAAGTGATAAACTTAAAATTGGGAAAAGCTACATACACCTCCAGTTGAGGCTATTTGAATTCTCTAATAGGGTGGCGGATACTACTGCTTTAGCCCCCCAGTGGCACAGCGGTATGTCTGCGGACTTACAACGCTAGAATCCGGGTTTCGATACCCGTGGTGGGCAGAGCACAGATAGCCCATTGTGTAGCTTTGTGCTTAATTATAAACAAACAAACTACTGCTTTACAAAAGTTTTAATAAATGTTTGTTGAATTAAGGCTAAATCAAGTGATTAGTTTTCATAGTTTATTGAGAAAGAATGGGAGTCAGGACTGTCTTTTGTTATCCCATAATAAATTTAATTTTCGAAGATATAAGGACGTAAATTTTGAAAGGCCACTTAATTGATTGTAGCAAAAAATCCCAATTCATTAGTTAAGAAACACAGTCAATGTTATAAGCTATTAAAAGAACTGATATTAAAGAACTTAGTTTTGGCACATTCGTGTATTCTCACATCGTTTACTGGCTACACACAATACATGTTATGTGTTTGTTATTACTCTTAGTCTTATTCTTTCCGTTTCGAGAATATTTGCGCATGCGTAGTATGATTAAATATATATCTTACAATTACAAAGCCTGAATTTTAGCATTATTTCAATTGTTGTTGAAGTTTAACGAAAACATAATTTATGCAGATGATGGGGGATTTGGCAGGAGATAACAAAGGTAAACATAAATTATAGTTTTGATGGTTTTAATTTGCATCATATTATTAAAAATTAAAAGATGGAGTATTTAGGCTTAGCTTGGATATGACTGTGTAAGCCTAACGTTACCATAATGTTGGGATAGGCTTACAATTTTCTAATTCTATTAAACTACACAGAATTCTGTTTATGTTTTAGTACAGAAACTTGAGAAAATAATTTTGTGCTAAGTTACAGCCTAAAAATTTTCCTACTAAAGGCGTGATTTCATAACATAACGTTTTGGGACAACATAGGACCTATTGTCCCATCTCGGCTGTTCCACACACTAAACTAAATTAACTTAAAAAATCTTAAAGCCAGCCCTTATCATTCATGTACTTATTAAGCTTTTTCTTAAACTCATTTAAATTTACTTCTTCTGAAAATCCACATACATTAAATCTACATCATTACCCTCATCTACATAAGCAATAACCTTTTCAAAGAATGTCAAAAGATTTGTAATGCAAGATTTTTCCTTAGTAATACTAATATGAAAACCATGTTGACTATCCAATAAAATTTTAAAACTTGTTATATGGCTTTACAAAGCATCTTTTATCGGATTTTCCAAAACTTTTCCCACAACTGCTATAAGAATAATAGGCCTATAATTACTGGGACATTTTTTATCATGTCCCTTGAAAAGAAGAGTGACATTGGCTAACTTCTAATCCTCTGGTACCTACCCATTATTCAAGGACTTACAAAAAATAGTAGCAAGTGGCTCACATATCCAATCTTTAAATACTTTCAACTCCTTTTGGGGAAGTATTATCTGGCCCAGGAGCCATATCGTTCTTTAAACTTCCCAATTTTGTCGCAGAACTAATGTGATCATCTCTGCTAGCCCCCTTTATTATATCTCATGCTTTGTCAGTTATATCCTCCACCTATGTCCCTGGGTAGCATAATCTGATTCTTTTCTTCCTGTTTACCCCACAAACGATCCTATCTACATGTTGTGTCAAGGAATCACTTGTAACTATAACCTCCTCAAGTTTTTCTTTCACATCCTTCTCTGCTCTTTTGTTTTCCTTCCCTCCAATAGTTCCTCCTCTGTAGAAGCCAAGGGCTGAAATCTTATGCTCAATAGAATAGGCTCATTACAATTAAATTCACCACTTTTAGTCCTAATAGTCCTGTTTCTAACTTCCTGAAAGTCATTGTTAGCTGATGTATCCCTTGCATGTAAAACCTTAAGCTTCTCTTGAAATCCTGCTGTCATTTCCTTCAGTCTACACTTACCATGAGAAAGTAAAAGCCCAATATCACAGTTTTTAAGCAGAACTGGCAAAGTTTTGGCCTGCTACAATTTCATACCACTAATTATGACAAATATTCTGATGTTTTTCAGTACATTAGATTGTTTTGAAGCAACAATTCTCTCACGTTTATAGTTTTTTCTAAAATAAATGTCCAGACTCTTGTCATTAATTAGTGAAACCCTGTTGATTATGCTCTCTGATGAAATGTTAAAATCTGTAAGTTCTAGGATGTATTTAGGTTGATGGTCAGATAAATGTGAATGTGTGATTCCAAATATACAAAATCCATACCACATTCAATTATTAATAAAACATTTAGTCAAGGTTATGTTTATTTGCCAGTATTGCAAGTACAACTTGTCAGTTATTTTTAATATTAAAATATGGAGAATTTGATATTCCTTCAGCTTCTTGGTTCCGCCATGTTTGAACATTTTAGAATAGAAATTCTCGTCCAGCAGACAATGTTCGACTAAACCAGAGGTACTTATACTCAGTTCCAAGTACATACCATCAGGTATCATCAAAAGCTGTCAATAAAAAGTGAAGTCCATTGCACCTAAAGCTCAGATTATTTATTATATAAGAATTATATGGTACATTTCCTGTACATTAGCTCCTGTAACCTGTGAATCTCACTAAAGGTGGGAAGGCCCCACATTTTTCTTTATCTCATTTTGGGGTTAATACACTAATGCAGTGTAAAGACAAAGTCAAAAACATCATTTAGATGAAATCTTTATTTCATACGAAAGTTTAATAAAATCATAAATATTCAAAAATTACATGCTATTCTCATCACCAGTAAACTTTGTTACATCTCGTGATCCATGTAGCAGATTTCTTGAGCTGTTGTTCTTGACACTTTGGCCGGACTACAGATATTTAAATATATCAAATAATTAAATGTTTTTCAGTAAATTGGATTGTTTTAAAACTGCTACTACTTATTGTTGCTGAGGTTTTATTGAAATATGTGTCTTGCTGCTTCTTGTTGTTAATTAATAAGACTGTTATCAACAGCGTAGTGTTAGGACAGAAATTGAGCAAACTGATTTTACCAAAAGGCTAAAATCTGTACGTTTTCCATGAGACAATTTGAATACATCAGTGTCTGTTCACTTAAGTCATATAGTTAATGTTTTATTTTGGCATAGAAAAGTAACTTATATAGAAGGATGTTGTCTAGGTCTGTGTGAAGTTATATATCAAGTGTTTAGTTCCTGAAAAGAGGACAGTGTACTTAGTCATTATAGTTGTTATTTTGTGACAGACTACAAGTACTGGTAAACTTTACTGTGTGATGGGACTTGTGGTTTATGTGCATGAACCTCAACCCTACAAGTATTTCAGAAACTCATGTTTCCACTGTATCGTTCACCATGAAACTTTTGTTTATTCTGTATGGCATTAGCTTATGACATTTTTAACCCTTTCACTGCTCGGGTGGGGTGGAAAACTCTCCACGACATACACGAAAAATTTTAAAACATTTATTTACCTTATGAAATCATAGTACAGTATGCAAAAGTAAAGAATAAACACCAAAAAGTCATATAATGACTTCTGTGTAGGCCTGGTGGTGAGCCGAGTGAGGGTTGGTTGCATTAAGGGTGACCTTCACTGACTGCAAGATAAGACAGGAGGGTAAGCTAGACTTGTTTGTTTGTGTTTTTTTCCAAGTGAGGTAGCACACTCGAATCTAGGTAATAAAGACAAGGGTAAAAAAATCAAATTATTTTGGAAAACAGTATCAATAACTATTAATTCATAACAGGGCTTATGCATGTATGTGATAATGAAAAAGTAAAATGCTTATTTCAGAATATGTCATTTAAAACAATTTATAAAATATAGGACTTATTTATTTATTTTACTTTTTTACCCATTTATGTAATTTTATTTGTGTTACAGGGTTTACGCATGTACGTGATGAGAAAAAGTAAAATGCTTATTTCAG